ACACTCAGGGATGTAGTTGGATCAAATCTGTTAATATCAATTGGTGTGGTGTACCATTTAGAGATAAATTTATAATTAATTTCTTGTAAAGGGATACTAGAATGTGTATGGAATATAGTTTTAAATATTGCATTCCAATCTTCTTCACTGACTATTGCATTCAATCTTCTTCACTAACTTCACTGCCATGTGTTCCTCCAAAATTTTTGTGAAATAAGGTAGTGGTATTTGGGCTTGTGTTTGTAAGAATTTATAACATAGAGAGGCTGGTTTTTGTGGTGCTTTGTGTCTCGTACACAATTCTTCAAATGTAGTCAGTTCCCTAGGGGTCCAAGTTATTATACCCTGAGCTCTCAGGGAGTGTTTTAATTGTTCATACTGGAATCTCTGCATAAGTGAAGGTGTCCTACCCTCTGTCAATTGGGTCACCGGCACTACTCCCTCTTCCCCCACCACCTCAGATAGGGTAATATATTCAGTCTGTCTGTTACTTTTTGGTGTTGTTAGCTGTAGACACTGTTTCCCCGCTAGGATTGTTTGTTATTGGGTAAGTCGGTGATGGGGTTGGGGCTATGTTTGGCCTGATAAGGATTTATTTCCAAAGCTTTATTGTTGGAGTCACTGTCAGATGGTTGGGGACTGTCCAATTACTGGGTGGTGTCAGCATCCATGGTATTGTTTTTAATGATTCCCCTAACAGGGCTTGTTTTATTGAAATCCACAATTTAGGCTTCACCTGGTATGACCAATCTATGATGCGATTGAGATGTATTGCTTGATAGTATAACCAGATATCCGGTAGGCCAATCCCCCCTTTATCTTTGGGCCTAGTGAGAATGTGGTAACATAAATCGAGTAAATAGTGTCTGTATTTTCTTAGAGAATATTCGTGATATCATGATTTGGAGTATATTGAGGAGATATAGTATTCTAGGAAGTGCATTCATTTTAAGTAAATTCACTCGGCCAAACCATTGGAAGTGTGGTTTGTTCCATCTTTCTAGATTGGAACTAATGGCTTCTAAAAGTTGCGGAAAGTTAGCACTATATAATGATCTGGTATGTGAAGTCACGTTGACTCCCAAGTATTTGATAGATTTTGTCGCCCATTGGAAGGGATATATTGTTTGTAAGCTTTTTCTTTTCCTTGTCCAGCAACGTAAGGTTTAATATTTCACATTTGTCAGTAATTATTTTAAAGTTGGAGAGAGCGCTGTATTCCGAGGGGATACCCACCAGAGCCGGAAGGGATGATTTAAGATTAGTTAAGGTAAATAATAGGTCATCTGCAAAAGCGGATACTTTATATTGTGAGCGACCCACCTGCATCCCTTCCACTTTCGGCTGTGCTCTTACTGCGTATAGTAGAGGCTCCAGTCCCAGGATGAAAAGGAGGGGTGACAGAGGGCACCCCTGTCTAGTACCGTTTGTAACTGAAAAGTGGGCGGACAATGATCCATTGATTTTGAGTCTGGCTGAAGGGAAAAAGTAAATCGCTTGGATCCATTGCATCCACCTTCTCCTGATGCCAAGGACTTCCAGCGTTGACAGGAGGAAACTCCAGTCCACCCTGTCAAACGCTTTTTCTGCGTGTATAGCTAATATGATTGCCGGAGTTTTAAGTCCCTGGGCCCCATGTACTAAATTAATCATTTTCGTGGTGTTGTCCTTGGCCTCCTGTGACAGTACGAACCCCGCCTGATCTAGGTGGATTAAAGATAGTAATAATGGTTTCAATCTCAATGGCAACATCTTTGTAAAGATTTTTATGTCTACATTAATTAAGAAGATTGGCCTATAACTACTGCAGATGTCTGGGTTTTTCCCCTATTTGTGGAAAAGGGTAATATTGGCTTCTAAACTTGATTTTGGGATGGGATTTTCTGCGTTTATGGAGTTGATGGCGTGGAGGAAGTGTTGACCTAATTCTTTTGTGTATGTCTTGTAACAGGAGGCCAAGTATCCATCAGCACCTGGGCTTTTACCTGAGGGTGTAGTTTTAATTGCGTGTGTGAGTTCCGTTAATGAGAAAGGTTCGTCCAAGGACCTAGATAACGCCTGTGGGAGTGATTGATCAAATTACATCTTTATCTTGAGAATCTTTCGTAATATTGTATAGAGACTGATAAAAATTCCTTAAAGTCTTTGCTATTTCCTCATTCTTTGTACAATCTTGTTTTTGGTTGTTTTAATTTGTGGGATGTTAGTTTTTTCTCTTTTCTGGTTCGGTGCATTAGCTAGAAGTTTCCCACATCTGTTTCCCTGGGTATAGAATAATTGTTTGTTCCAAATTTAGGATTTTTTGCCTTGGTTTGTAAAAGTAAGGTCAGCTCAGATCTGAGGTATAATAATTTCCTGTAATCTACCTCTGACATGGTGACCTTATGTGCCTCTTCCAAGTTTTTTGCATTGTGTAAAAGCTCCTTTTGTTTCTTGATTTGTTCTTTATTAAAAAAGGAGCCCCATTTTATTAACTCCCTCCTCACCACACACTTATGTGCTTCCCATTGGAGAAAAGGTGTAGTGTCTTGTGTATTGTTGTCTTGTAAGTAATTGGAAATTGTTTCCGCTATGGCTATCTTGGCCGAATTATTGTGTAGTATAGAGGTGTTTAATCTCCATTGGCCTTTTCCTTGGGCGATGGAGGGGATTTTTAGAGTTATCTGAACTGGAGCATTATAGGACCAAGTGATGTTATTTATTGTTGCTGAGGTCACTAGTAAGAGGTCCCTTTGAATTGTAAGAAAGAAGTCGATTCTTGTGTACGTGGATGCTGATCTAGAATAAAAGGAGTAGTCCTTTGTTGTAGGGTGTATGGCCCTCCAACAATCCACCAACTGGTGACTGTGTAAAAGATGTCTCATCTGTGTTCTTGTATGGTTTAGATGTTTAGATTGTTGCGCTGTGCTGTATTTGAGGCCGTCAATGGATATGTTAAAATCTCCCCCTATGATTACTATACCTGATGTGTGCTGTTGTACTTTGTTGATGATCCTACGTAGTGTGTGACATTGTTTAATGTTTGGTAGGTATATGTTCACAAGGGTGATAGGCTGGTTGCTTATTGATCCTTGTATGATATAATGCTCTGAGTTGTCAGTATAATGGTTTTGATAGGTGAAGGGAAGCTGCGCCTTAATTAATATTGCTACTCCCCGTGATTTGCTCTGGGTGAAGTTGTTGTAGTATGGAAGAGGATAATGTTTATTAGTTCGTTTTGGTACTTTTAGGTCCCTAAAGTGTGTTTCTTGAACAAACACCAAGTCAGCTTGGAGTCTATGGAGCCATATTTCTCTTTTCGGGGGCATTAAGTCACCTGACGTTATAGGATACTATTGTGAGGAACTGACTCTGCTGGGTTTCGAACCCTGGTTTACATGGTGCTAAACCTTTTCCTTACCAGTACACCAGCCTGCCTTTTGCAAATTTACCTGAGATCTGATACTATTGCTTGTAGAGTCAAGGTTATCAGTGACAACTCACTTCAGCTGTGTCTGGTCAGGTGTCTGGTTCTTGGCCTATAAAAGCCACTTCCTGTCTCTGTACCTTTGCCAGATTATTGTGGTTCCTGTACTCTCTAATCCAGCGTGTTCCTGTTTCTCCTTCCTGTTGCTGAATTTGGACTGTTTTGACTTTGCTGCTTCTCCTTCCCACTGACCTCGGCTTGCCTCACTACGATTATCATCTTTCTGTTCCAGTCTCCCATCTCTGCTTAAGACCAGAAGGCCACTCAAGGCTCAGGGGCTCAACCACCTGGGTAACGAGTGGCTACCTCTGGCAGAAAACATTGCTGATCTGGCTACTGGACTCCAAAACATTGTAACATCAATATCATTACAACTATATTTATTGAGTCTATAGTATTTGCATCATTTTTGATATGTGTCATCATCATTTTTCTTGTACTAGTAGCGAAGTCTAGATTTATATGCTGCTGTACAAAAAAAAAACTGTTATAAAATAAATTAACTAAATGAACTAACGAGAGTAAAACTTATCAAAAATTAACAATGTAACGTGAAAGCACAGATGTGAATTCTGGGTTCAGAATTCACTATCAAGAATTGGTATCTTCACCAACTATTAAGGAGTCGGTACTTAATTCCCTCCCCTTCAGCAACAGTTACTGAATCGGGAATAAACGTCCTGTAGTGTATGTTATTGGTTTTGCACCGCTTGTAACCACCGCTTGTAACCACTGATGGTTCGTTAGGGGTTGTGTATTTGGTGTATTTTAAAGGATGTAAACAGTCATGGCCATTGATCGTGTTCGTTTAGTGATCTATAGGAAACTGTCGTGGTTCCCTACAACCTCTTTTGAATTCTCTACAGTTTTTGCGCCGCCAAGCGCTAGTGTTAGCTATAGCATCTGAATGGGTTTAACTTTAGGAGTGCATGTCTGGAGGAGACTAAACAATGTCCCCATATCGTATTCGATTGAACTGTTATGTTAGTGTATGTGTACAACTTGTGTGTGCGTGTGAATGCAATATTATAAAGTATTTCCATCAGAAATCCACATTTCTAGTTTTTTTTTCTTCTTTTTTTTAATTTTTAATTTTTATTAAATGAGATTGCATATAATCATTACCCTGATTCTTGTGGAAGGAGGATCAATGACTGCTTATTAAAGGGACTTATTTCGTTTCATATAGGGTGACATTTGGTCTAATTCCACCATACTTGGGGTCCCTTCCTCTTTGCTTCCATCATCTTCCCTCCTCTGGTATGCAATCAATTAATTCACTTCTTAGCCCCCTTAAGATATCTCAATGTATGATATTATAGGCTATTAAGCAAAGTTTCTATAAAACGTCAGAATTCCCAATGTATATTATATATACGTTACATGCATCCTCCGTGAGTGTTGTCAATTCTCCTTAGGTATTTCTAGATTTTAGAGAGTCCGAGGCCCTAACTAGGCCCAAGTGTTCTCACAGTCAGACACTTCGGTCTATGCGTTATGTAAGTCCCAGCAAGTGTCCTTGTAATTGAAGGTATTATGTCCTTGAATCTGGACTTCTGGGTGCTCCTTCAAGTGTCTTCTGAAGCAGGCCTGGGTCTGGATGATGGCGTAAAAGGGAGTCTCTTTCCTGGTGTCCTCCTCTTCTCCGCCTTGAAGGAGAGTCCATCTGGGTCTTTGGGTTAAAGCCTGCGCGGAGCCTTGGGACCGTGATGTGATGCTGTAAGGGAAAACGGGTATCCCCACCTATTATGGATTTCCTTCATCTGTAAAGCCTGTGTGATGGGTCATAGAGCCCTTCTTCCCTGCAATGTTTGCCAGGCCAAGTCAGGCAGTATTTGAATTTGCGTGGAGGGTGTGTTTACAGCTGGAGAATTCCGTGCTTGGCGCATGATTTCTTCTTTAAGACTGTAGTAATGTATTCTGCATACAATATATCTTGGAGCATCTTGAGGTAGGCCATGGCCTTACTGCTCTATGAGCTCTGTCCATTAATATGGGTGTTTCTATTGGACGTTGTAGTATGTTATTGAATAAAGTTTGTAATGTCTCTCTGACATTTTCGGGGTCCCCCTGTACCTCTGGGATGCCCCTTAAATGAAGATTATTTCTTCTGCCCCTATTATCGAGGTCTTCTGTGTGGCGTATAATCTGCACAATTTTGCCATCCTGGGCATCTTGTCTCTGTTCTAAATTTTGGATCCGCAGCTGAATATTATCTCTATCACCTTCTAAATCTCCCACCCGCAGGCCTATTTGTCGTACCTCATTAGTAATGGAGGACAGCTTCTCTTGCATAGAGGCTTCCAGTCTCGCCAGCATAGAAGCTATATCTTCTTTGGATGGGAGGTTTTGTATTAGTTCTTGGAGTAAGATGTTGCCTTTTGAGGTGGAGATTTCGGAACTCGCCGGGCTGTTTGGCGGCGATGCACGTGGAGAAGATGGCGGCTCTCCCGCTTCTGTCTCTGCGAGCACCCTTACTTTATCTTTAAAGTAGCGGTCCAGATCACCGGCTTTTTTGCTGGATGTCTGACCAGGGGTCTCCTGGGCTGCATTGGGTTTCTTTTTGTTACCCATATTGTTTTCTGATTGCAATTTGGCGGCTTTTTAGTAGAGGTTGATCGGGAGCTCAATTAGGTTGCGACCACTCACATTGCCAGTCAAGCCACGCCCCCCCACTGCCATCTATTTTTAAATGCATTTAGGTTTAGAGGAAAGATTCTTTAAAACACTAAAATAAAGCCAAATGTTAATATGTGAAGTACTAAAATGCTCAAAAATTTGATGTTGCCAGAGATCAGTATATTGTGTTAAAGGGACTTTTATGGGCAGATCTCTAATTTGGTCCTAAAACCCGGCAATGGTACATGGTAGGTAATTCACCTCATATCTGTTTTCAGAAAAAATACAGGTAAGTTGCCATTTGCATGTTAAAATGGGAAGAAATAAATACCACAAACTTTGTAAGAAATTGGTTAAAGTCTATTCGGGAGACATGAATTATGTACTGTAGCGGAGAGCTGGTCTTTCACAGGTTAACTCCACTAAAGATCCCAGTAAGGCTCCGGAACAAGCAATAAAATACCATAGAGTAGTAATCCCAACAAGAAAGGTAATCCACTAATATTCCCATACAGATCCCAATGACTGGACGACACACAGCATCAGGAGCAGAACTGACTTTTAATCCACACAACCTCCTTTTAAAGCATTCTCCCATGCAAGGGAAGGATTCACCATAATTAGTCCCCTCAGTGTGACACATAATCCTATTAAACATACTGTACTTTTCCCTAAATTCTAGATGTACCCCAAAGTAAGCAGTGAGAATAATAATTTGGATATCCCTGGTAGCCCTGATCTGGGTGACTAACATATCCAAAATTCACCCAGATCAGACCAGGGGTTCGGGAGTTAAAACACATAGAAATACCTGCCATCCACCGCTAATCTTCCATTCGTATTAATTCCCTTGTTCGGTACATTGATTTCATCGAACGAGGGGCTTCCTAGTCTCTCCGTTCGTACGTTATGGACCTCTGGAGGTCTCAGCAGTGTTCGGTTGTTTGAGTGTCTGATTTGAGTTCCAGACACTCGACGACCAAACACCGCTGAGATTTTCATGCGTAAGATGGCCGCCGCATGTGGTTCGTATGCCGAACGGGGACCACACAGGCACATACAATGAATCAATTAAGCTGCAGTTTGCAGAGTGTGAACGCTTAACGAGGCGCACACTTCTCACTGGGGTGGTCTGATGGTTCGGTAGTTTCATTCGTATGAAACTACCGAACCATCATAGGAATACTACATACACTTTACAGATATACAGGGAAATAATTATGCGAATACATTTTCTATACAAATTTCTATGGACAGCATCAATACAATCCACTACATATACAAATTAGCCAAAAATATTAGACTTGGGTGTTCGTATTTGGACAAATGTATTTTCAGATGAAAATCTGCATTTTCCTCCATTCATCCAAATAACAAATGGGGAGAGAGACAAACAAACAAACAAACAAGCAAATGGGCACTGAACAAAACTCTTTAATTCTTTTGTTCGTTCATTCACAATTCAAGTTGGGCCTTTTGAATAACATTTGCAAATCAAAGATATCCCTCCTTCATGGAGGGGTGTGTGTAACAATAAAAAGTGCTAAAATGTAAATAAAATAGGAGCAGCTCTATACACTTTTGTGGAAATATCCTCTTATCCACAAGACTATTGCAAGAATTATAAACCGGTATAAGTGAAAAACCTACACCTACAAGTGGAGCGCTTCTACCTACAAATTATCTATATGTGGAATATACATAAACATTACTTGATTAAAAGTATGGTATGCAATACGTGTAAAAGGAATAAAAGACAAAAGATACAAAAAAGTGTAGATGGTACTTAAAATAGAACACAGTATATAATATTGCAATCAGGACACTCATATTTAAAGGAGCCTGTGTGTGAATACTGGCTCCGTAATCAGGCTGGTGTGCTTTTATAGCAGCACCACTCATTGTGGAGTGGTTCTCATAAAGAAAACATAAAATAAACAAACCAATGTGTAGTCTGTTGAGACTGGAGGTGAGAATGTAAACAAGAAATAAATGGGCTCACCTTGTTCTGAGCCTACTACTCGCAGCTCTGAGGTGTGCAGGTACTCTGCCAATTTTAGTGGGGATGGCACTACCCCTGTGAAGATTCCTGGAGGCTCCAAAAGGACTTGAATAAAAATACTTTGATAAAAATAAAAAAATTATTTGAATGTATACAATGACAATATAAAATTATACTTGCAATAATAAAAAAAAGTCCTTAGATAAATAGCAATACGCGTTTCACTCTCAAAGAGCTTCCTCAGTCAGCTCAGTCAGGGTAGTGCCATCCCCACTAAAATTGGCACAGTACCTGCACATCAGAGCCGGGATTACTACTGTTTGTACTTCAAAAGACCGAACACTTCAGTCGAATGCACAAATGTCTCATTCTTTCGGTACTCATTCATTAGTTTTTCTTAAATATCACACATCAAAACATAATCCTTCATATCTTTATGTAAGAAAGGTCACCAATATACAGAAGTTATAAGAGAGTAGGTGTTATTAATATCTGGATAACCTGCAATTTTGACATCATGGTAATGTTTTGGTTGTTCAGAAGGAACGTATTTCACCAGTAAGAATTTATCTTAACAGAAGTATTGGCTACAATATTTTGTCTGGGCACAATAGCAATTATTTCTGTCTCAAGGCAGGCTTGGGACTCATACTGATGAGACAAAGCATCTGCTTTGGTAGTTTTTGATCCAGTTTTGATACATAATTAAATATTGCTAGGAAAAGGGACCAACGTGATTGCCTAGCAGATAATTTCTTAGCTTCTGCAAGGTAAAATACATTCTTATGATCAGTTAAGATTTTAATGGGAATTGGAGTTCCTTCCAACAGATGTCACCATTCCTTCAAGGCTTACATAATGGCCAACAGTTCCCTATCACCTATCTCATACAGGTGGTCCTCAGTTAACGACAGCTCACACTGATGACCAGCTCTCTAGCATGAGGATTTAAGGGACTCCCCACATTAGAGAGCTGGCCAATGTTCAGGGAATATTCCTGAATTTTTTTTTAGAGGGCTTTCCTGCTCAGGTGCATTTGTCTACATTTGGGTAAATTTCCCCGAACGTAAAAAAACGCACCAGAGCAGGGAATCCAACATGTGTATGTTGGGGGAAATTTCCCAGAACATTGTTGTTAGTATTATTATTTCTAAAGTGCCAACAAGTTCCGTAGCGCTGTACAATGGGAACACTGGTGCGCTTGCTCCGTAGCGCATCCTCACTTACCGACCAATTTGTTTTATGACTGAGTTGTAAGAACGGAACCCAGTCGGTAAGGTAAGAGTGCATGTATCTCCATTCAAAAAAAGGAATGTTACCGCACTCCAAATTGTTGTTTAAAAAATCAAAAAGATATTTAATGGATAGTGTAAACAAAAATAAAGGTAATCAATTAGTGCATTTGTGACGAGACCAATCTCGCCACATTGCATTGGAGAAGCCTGGTTGCTCGCCTGCTGCCTTTGGACTATGGCCCCCTGTTAAAAGACATCTTTTTTACCTGCAGAAAAGCTTAATTCGTGCTTTTCTGCCTGGGGTTCGGTAGATTTGTTTGAATGTGTTATACCCCAGATAGGAATCCCATGGAGCCCATTCGTATGAAACTGACTGTAAAGACTTTGGCTCCATGGCGATTAAACTGTATTCGTGTGGTCTGAGCGCCATTCGCTTAATAATGTGCGCTCAGACCTGAGCTATCTGGGGATATGTTAAATGTCTGTGTGTTATGTGTAAAAGGTGACTTTATGTATTTTAAAGTGTTTTACTGTCTTTGTGTCACCATGTGCATAATGGAGTCTTGTCCCTGTCCTGGGAGATAATTGAATTACTTCTCACTTATCTCCAGGGCAGAGGAGAGGAAGCCAGGATGCATTGTGGTAAAAGGTATGTGTATTGGGTTACCTCTGAGGATAAGGGGGAGGGAATCTGTGGGTTGTAACTAATATGTTACTGGATATTTTATACCTCCCTGTGGGCGGTCCTGTATTTGCAAGACTGTAATAAAAACCAGGCTGGGTGTGCCAGCACCTCAGACCACTGCTTGACCCTCAACACGGAGCCTTGTCTCGTTCTTGGGGGGATTCACTGTATGCTGTTAGAGACTGATTGCCAGGAGTGTAAGCTGATTGTCTGCTTTTCCTGTTCGTCTGCTAGCAGCTATTTGGGAGGTTCCAGTTCGGGAGTTGGAGTGCTATTTTGTATCCAGTTCGGGAGTTTGGTGTTCTGCAGTAGCTGTGCCTGTATCTCTGGAAAGGGGGCCGATCGCCTAAACGGTTTTTACCCCTTTGTGCAAAACGGTCCGTTACAATTGGTGGCAAGCGGCGGGATCGTTCCCACAGACAACAGGACAGCTACAGGCGACACCATTCCGTGGATTTACAATTTGAGGGCAACGCATGTCTGAGTACAGCGACCCTGACAGCAACAGCATGGAACCAGCAGTGGAGTACAGATACTCTGTACAGGAATTTGACCGTATGATGTGGTTGCGGCTGAACTTCTACGGGCCTAATCCAGCTGAGAAATCCGTGAAGTTCGTGAGGAGTCTAGTATTCAAGACTCTGCTGTACCGGGCAGAGGGTGACGGTCAGCTGCCACGGTGGGTGGACCTCCACCGGCAGCTACAGTTGCGGGACAGAGAGAGCCCAGTCTCCTCTCCCCAGCGGCAGTGTGATATGCAGGGAATTGGGAGCCCAGTCTCCATTCCCCAGCGGCAGTGTGATATGCAGGGAATTGGGAGCCCAGTCTCCATTCCCCAGCGGCAGTGTGATATGCCGGGAATTGGGAGCCCTGTCTCCATTCCCCAGCGGCAGTGTGAGTGCAGGGAAGGGAGGTAGTCTCCCCTCCAGCAGCAGAGTGATATGCCGGAAGGTGAAGTGCAGGAGAGGAGAGCAGCGTCCTCCCTCCCCAGCGGCAGGCTGAGTTACAGGGGGTAGAGGAAGTTGTTCCTGCA